TCCCAAAACCAATTGGTAGTAGGAGGAGTAGCCCACTAGGCTTATAAGTTAGGCCTATTTACCCTATCAAATCAATGTGGGACAACTCACAAGTGACATTCCAACACTTTTTGATATACACACTGATTTTGATGTATATGCAATTCCTATTGTTGAGTTTTATGGCGGCGACTAGATGGTTTAGGGTTTTTCGCTCGCAAGCAAGCGTAAGAATGTTGAATAATGTGGTTGGAGTAAACTGATGCTTATATGATATGGCACCTACAAGTGGTGACAGATAATATGCAGATGTCTACTGTTATTTATTTGATTTTCCTTTTTTATTCTTACCTAGATATGGGGAAAGATTTTGAAAATATGGTGCTTATTCTCTAAAAGGAACAGCTGGGGAAGTTGATTTAGCTCTCTTATTTAAGTATATCTTGTTTTATTTATTTCTATAATTAATTCATATCATGACATGTGCTTGAGCATATTCATTGCTTCTAGCTTTCGAATAAATTCTGCTGGTCACTAAACAAGCTCTCTCAGGTCTCTCTATCTGTCTTTGGAAATAAAAAATGTCTTATAATTCCTCTTTTTTTCATGCAACTAGTTTAGGTTCTGCTTCATCTGTAATTTCACGTTTTCTAAATGTTATATGCTTTCAAGCGATGTTTCACATACTTGGCATTTGCACATCCCTTGAGGGTCTAAGTCATTCACACTCATCTATTACAATCAACATGCACTTCCTATTGCAACACCCATATTTAGAAAAAGGGCAATGCAAAGTTGCCATATGCTGATGATTATCGTATAGTACATGATGCAATTTCTATTGTTAATGTTCAAAACTGGGTGTATGTTCTCTTCTACATTCGTACATGATGCAATTCCTATTGTCGATGGTCAAACCCATGATTGCACCCAGTTTTGAAATTCTAGTGCTACTTCTATTAGTGAAGTTTCTAATGATGCAATTCCTATTGTTGATGATCAAACCCATTTGCACTCCTAGCATAGTGCTAATAATGGACTAGATCAAAATAGCTCAATTAAATTCTAGTGCTTCTTCTATTAGTGAAGTTTCTAGAAAAAAATATATCAAACGACGCCCTTGGGTCGCTATGGAAACAACCTCCTTGTATAATTACAAGGGTAAGGTCTGCGTACAACTGACCCTCCAGACCCCAACCTGTTGGGAATATACTGGGTATGTTGATGAAGATGTTGATGATGATCAAAACTGGGCGTATGTTCTCTTCTACATTCGTTTTGACCGGCATTGTCCTCATCAATTCAATATTTCTACCTTCCTGTGGCTGATATAAAATACATGTTTCCCTGGCAGGTGCAACATCCTTCCTGTTCACCGAGTACCAATATGTGGGGATTTTCATGGTTGCCTTCGCAGTCCTCATCTTCCTATTCCTGGGCTCAGTCGAGGGTTTCAGCACAAAGAGCCAGCCATGCACATACGACAAGGAGAAGTTGTGCAAGCCTGCCCTTGCAACAGCGGTCTTCAGCACCTTATCCTTCTTGCTCGGAGCTGTGACTTCCATCGTCTCCGGTTTCCTTGGGATGAAAATTGCGACATATGCCAATGCGAGGACAACATTGGAAGCCAGAAAAGGTGTCGGGAAAGCTTTTATTACGGCATTCAGATCGGGTGCAGTCATGGGTTTTCTCCTTGCAGCAAATGGCCTGTTGGTCCTTTACATTGCCATCAATTTGTTCAAGCTGTACTATGGTAATGACTGGGAAGGGCTGTTCGAGGCGATTACTGGTTACGGTCTCGGTGGGTCCTCTATGGCCTTGTTCGGGAGGGTTGGTGGCGGCATTTACACCAAGGCGGCTGATGTTGGCGCCGATCTTGTCGGGAAGGTCGAACGGAACATTCCGGAAGATGACCCCAGGAATCCCGCTGTGAGTTAGTAAAGATATTGAAGTAAATTATTCTATTTAGACGGGATCTTTTTATTATTTAACAATTGATGATGTCCACTTTTTTATGCAGGTGATTGCTGACAATGTTGGTGACAATGTCGGAGATATTGCTGGTATGGGATCCGATCTGTTTGGTTCGTATGCTGAGTCATCGTGTGCGGCTCTTGTTGTGGCCTCCATTTCTTCTTTCGGGTTGACTCATGACTTCACGGCAATGTGTTATCCACTGCTCATTAGCTCCATGGGAATCCTGGTTTGCTTGATCACCACTCTTTTTGCAACCGACTTTTTTGAGATCAAGGCTGTCAAGGAAATCGAACCGGCACTGAAGAAGCAGCTCATTATTTCCACTGTTCTTATGACAGTGGGAATCGCAATTGTCACGTGGACTTGCCTGCCGTCATCTTTTACAATTTTCAATTTCGGTGCTCAGAAAGTTGTCAAGAACTGGTAAGGATTTGTTCAGCGCGCAATTTCGTTACATGCCACAAAGCCCAAATTTTAATACTTTCTGCTAACAAAAGCATGTGCTAACTCCTGTTAGTCATATTACTAACTCGGACATCCTATAACAGGCAACTATTTCTCTGTGTTTGTGTTGGACTATGGGCTGGACTCATCATAGGATTTGTGACTGAATATTACACCAGCAATGCTTACAGGTGGGCACATAGAACTTTCCTTTACTTTATTTTATTTATTTTATTCGTTTTCCCTCCTAACGTGTTTTTTTCCTTCATTTAGTTTTCTGCTTCATGTATGAATTTCTGTGTGCAGCCCTGTGCAAGATGTTGCTGACTCCTGCAGAACTGGTGCTGCCACCAATGTTATATTTGGCCTCGCTTTGGGATACAAATCTGTGATTATTCCCATTTTTGCCATTGCAATTAGCATTTTCGTCAGCTTCTCGTTTGCTGCCATGTACGGTATTGCAGTGGCTGCCCTGGGAATGCTCAGCACTATTGCCACTGGTTTGGCAATTGATGCTTATGGCCCAATCAGTGACAACGCCGGAGGTATTGCTGAGATGGCCGGTATGAGCCACAGGATTCGTGAGAGAACTGATGCCCTTGATGCCGCTGGCAATACCACCGCTGCTATTGGAAAGGTATTGCACATTAGTCTTCCTTAGTAGTTTTTATTTTTTTATTTTTTTTTATTTTATTGTTATTTATTTATTTTATTTTCATTTTTTCTGAAAGCTTCAACTATTTTGTAGAAATGACCAAAAGCTAATTTATAAAATTGGAATTCAGAATTATTTAGGTTGTGGTTGGACTAAAGTTCATTTTGAAAAATTTCCATCCAAGGATGGAGAATATTGGTGGGAAATTTAATAGAGAAGAAGAACGTAAACTTCTTGAAAGTTTGAATGGATACGTTGACATTAGAGTTCATTTGATGTAATAATAGTCCTGTAAGGATTGAATATGATTTGTATTTAGTGATATGAGTGAAAGAAAGTTTCAGTGATATGAGTGAAAGAAATTTGAAACTTATCTTTTTCTAAATGGCTTAGAAGTGGCTTGGAAAAATATTGAAAGTAAATGAGTACTGTAATTTTTATGTCTCTCCAAGATTCTCCAAGTAAAATTCCATTAAGAGATTTTTTTTTCTTAAAAACATGAAATGGTCGAACTGCAAACATAAAAAAGGTTAGACTGGAATTGTGAGAAGAAGCAAAAAGCTTGAGCATTTTTCGTTACACATCTCCTTGTTCTAATCTTTATCATTCGGTTTCAGGGTTTTGCCATTGGATCTGCCGCTCTCGTTTCGTTGGCCCTATTCGGTGCCTTTGTCAGCCGTGCAGAAATCTCGACTGTTGACGTCCTAACCCCTAAAGTCTTCATTGGTTTAATCGTCGGCGCCATGCTTCCGTACTGGTTCTCGGCCATGACCATGAAGAGTGTCGGTAGTGCCGCCCTAAAAATGGTGGAGGAAGTCCGCAGGCAGTTCAACACAATCCCGGGCCTCATGGAGGGTCATGCTAAGCCCGATTATGCTACCTGTGTGAAGATCTCGACAGATGCTTCCATTAAGGAGATGATCCCGCCTGGCGCTCTTGTCATGCTGACTCCCCTGATTGTCGGGACGTTTTTCGGCGTCGAGACCCTGTCCGGTGTTCTTGCCGGGTCCCTTGTCTCTGGTGTGCAGGTATCTCCTAATTTCATCCGAAAACATTAGAGGCTGAAGTGTGTTCTGTTTGAATTTCGAAGTCCATTTTCCTTGTCTTTAGAATACTAGTTGAGTTGAAAACAGAAGTTTGGCATTTGAAATACTAAGGGCATGATAGGTGGACAGTAAAAACCAGTAAAAAATGATTAAAAATTGAACCTAGTGAGAATTTGAGTTTGTATTTAATTAATAGTTAAAATGTAATGATTAAAGTTTGTGATGTAAAAGAAGAAGAAGAGATATGATTGAAAGCGATAGTCACTTAAATATATGAGTGAATGAATAGTGAATTAAAGTTTATGTGATGTACGAGACATATGATTGGGTATTATTTCACTATCGATATAATATAATATTGATGATAGTGAGCTTGAGTTAAATTTGTACTAGATGTTGAGTTAAAAGTGGATTAAAAAATTCTGATCGAAGATCAAAACAAGCTTTGATTAATATTTTTTTTTGGGCCAATAGCTGCCGAGTCTTTCTATTTTCTTTTTATTTTATGTTTTGGGCTTGTTTGGTCACTTCATATATTATTACAGATTGCAATTTCTGCATCAAACACTGGTGGTGCCTGGGATAATGCAAAGAAATATATTGAGGTAAATCTCCAGTCTCCTCATTCATTCTCTCTCTCTCTCTCTCTCTCTCTCTCTCTCTCTCTCTCTCTCTCTCTCTCTCTCTAAGTTTTAAATTTCCTACCGTAGGCTGGTGCTTCTGAGCATGCGAGAACCCTGGGTCCAAAGGGGTCAGAACCGCACAAAGCAGCCGTCATAGGCGACACCATTGGGGACCCACTCAAGGACACTTCAGGTCCGTCTCTGAACATCCTCATCAAGCTCATGGCAGTCGAGTCCCTCGTCTTTGCACCTTTCTTCGCCACTCACGGTGGCCTGCTGTTCAAGATCTTTTAAGAGATAAACTAAGATAACGGACCAATAATAATAAATGGATGTTTTTGGGCGAAGTGGAAAGAGGGTCTCGACCTCCTTTCTACTCTGTCGTCTCTATCCTCAAATGTCTCTCAAAGTTGTGGTCGAAGTTTCTCTAAGTTAGTGGCAATTTGATATTCTTGATGAGCTGATGATGATAACCATGTGATAATGGTGCCGGTGAAGGATGAAGGTGAAAATCTGTCATCCTCTCATCGTTGGTAATGTCGGATCAAATGTGTTCGTTTTTTGTTCCAGTGCCGAATTGTAAGTTCATTTTCTCATTTTCTGATTTCCTTTGTGGATCACTATGTCTCTGGTGGTGTTTGATTTTTTGAATTCGGAAGTTTTTTGGTGATCATTTTCATAAGTGGAATGCGTAAATAGTGATTTTGATACTCACATTAAGGGGCGATTTTAGGGTCAGTACCCTATGTTCACCCCATCCCTCTTTCAGTACCCATATATACTATAAAATAATTCGAAAAATTGGTACCAAGTTGTTAATTAGCTGTTAAAACTTTAAATTAACAAAAAGAATTTAAAAATATATTTTAATCAAATTATATATATAGAGAGATTTGTTCTAATGAGTACACATACTTAAAATGCGTATGTGAGACTTAATTTCAGTCGTTGGATCAGCTTTTAATCTAAGGCCGTGATTTGTCTCTTAAATTGGATTATTCACCTGGTGATTTTTCACTCGTCATTTCAAAATTTTGAGAAATTGTTCCCTCTCTGTTTTTTCTCTCGTATGATATTCTTTTCTTGTTTTTTTCTCTATTTCATTCATTTTTCACTGATAATTCTGAAATCTTTTTCTTTGTTATGTTTGTTTTTTCGCCGGAATCTTCCACAACAAACCAGTAAGTATTGTTTGTTCTCTTTTCGTTTCGCTCTATGTAGTTTTGTAGTTCGACGTTTAAGTTTGGATTTTATTTTTTTACGTTTCATTTTTAGCGGCTAATCATCTTTAGAACGTAATTTGATTTCGCTTTAGCTTCAGCTTGTTATTTGTTTTTGTTTATCTAGGCTACGAGTGTAAATTGTAGTCCTCTCATTGCTCATCTTCATGAGTAGTCGGTTGTATTCGAACCTTTGGTTTGTTATGAGATTATATATCGTTTGACAAAAAAAAAAGAAAAAAAAAGAACTAAGCATAGAACGTGCTTTTGTTGTTATTGTAAACCAAATGCATAGTTATTATCATTTGCATATTTAGCTTTTAGAAGTTGCATAGTTAGTTTTTAG